TCGGCTTAATGCATTAAAATACACAACGTTACTGTGATGAAGCTTCCCTCTTCTTTTTCATGTTATTATTATTACATGTTCCGTAATAATATTACATAGATTTTGAGTATAAATGCTAAAATAAATTTATTTCAACAATAAATGTAATACAGGTGATTCTCAATCTATACGCATAAACTGAGGGATTTACTACTCATGACAAATAATGACTAATAGGCGAAAAAATTAGTAGTAAATGATTTTCTGTTTCATAGATATCCGTGATATTTACTTTCAACATAGAACATTTTAAAATAACATCACAGCAAGTGTTCGAAATTAATTCCCATATTTTCTATCAATTAGGCTCCCCGAATCCACGATCCCATACTAGCGCGGCCACCCTGGTTTAGGCCTGGTTTAGGTGTTGGTGGATTGTCTGGGCAGCAGCTTGTATCTGATTTTGCAATATTTGCGGAGTATTAACTTTTGTGGCGTACACTAGCTTTTTAAGTGACCCGAAAGGTATAAATCAAGACGTATCCATCATCCAGGAACATATTAGATAATATACAGGGTGTCCCGCACCGATTGTACAATACTGCATCAGCATATTCTATGATCGAAAATAAACAACAAAAGCCTAATAAACATAGGTCAGAAAATGGACTATTTTCGAGATATTCAAAGATTTAGTTTCATAAGTTGATATTGTTAACATCATGAATTTAAATTTGTTTTTATAATAATTAAGTCGTTACTATGATTACGATAAGTTGTTTAATCAAAAAAAATAATACTTCACGAAATTATTATTTTACTATTTAATTTAATAAAACTATTAAATATGGCACCTATTAATTACTCCAAGGAAGAGATGGCGGATAGGGTGTATTGTTACACCATATCCACAAGGCCGGTGGAATTAGAAGAAGCAGTTTTGAGAAGAGTTGATGAAAAGGCTTCAACCAGCATTAAAAGAAATTCTGCACAAGAAAACATTAACAAAACAACCGTTCACCGCATTTTAAGGGAGCAGTTGCTTTATCCTTATCATTACAACACCATTCAAGCTCTAACAGAAAATGATGGCGAAAAAAGAGAAATTTTTTGTAGGTGAGCCATATAGGAAGAGGTAGTAAACGTCGACTTTCCCATAAACATTGTATTTACGGATGAAGTAACATTTACTCAAAGCGGAATTTTTAATATTCATAATGCGCATATTTGGAATGATGAAAATCCCCATGCAATACTAGAAACTCATCATCAGTGGCGATTCAGTGTTAATGTATGGGCTCGAATTATAGGTGATCAGTTATTAGGTCCATTCTTTCTTCCAAAGAGATTGACAGCTAATGCTTACATACATTTTTTACAAAATGACCTTACAGAGGCATTTGATGAATTATCTCAACAAATTCTAGAAGATTGCTACTTTATGCACGATGGAGCACCAGCGCATTATGCACGCGCTATTCGAGCATACTTAAATAACAGATTCGGCAATAAGTGGATTGGCCGAGGAGGTCCTGTCCCGTGGCCACCTCGTTCACCAGATTTAAATCCGTTAGATTTTTGGTTTTGGGGACATTTAAAACAAATTGTTTATTCTGAAGGCGTTCAAATTGTGCAGGATTTGAATAATAAAAACTTGACACAGTAAAACAAATTATGACATGAATCTTTTCCAATTTGTTAAATATTCGTTGTTTTTATGCTGGTTGAACGATTTTCTTCGACAGTCTTTGTTACTTGTTTTGTTAAATTATTAATGAACTGTATTAATTAACTTAATATTATCTTATTATTTATTAAATTTTATCTTAACCATCGTAACCATGGTAATTATATAATTACTGCATCTAAATCGTTACAATTAATGATGTTAACAATAGGTCAACTTATGAAACTAAAACTTTGAATATCTCGAAATGGTCCATTTTCAGACCTGTGTTTATTAGACTTTTTTTTGTCTATTTTCGATCAGAGAATACGCTGATGCAGTCTTGTATAATCGTTGCGGGACATCCTGTATAGATAGATATCGCCGATTATATCGGATATCTAGGAAACTAAAAAACGTTTTCTACAATTTTTTTCATTTTTTATTTGTCCTGAGGAATTGAGGAATAAATGCCTCAGTTTATGTGTATAGGTAGAGAATCATCCTGTATTTACGATAAAACTTATAAAAGCGACAACAGACAGTTGACTGAGCGCTTCATGTGGTATGTCATAATGGTTCGCTAATAACATCGCTTTTTATCACTGAAGAACAAAAAGATTTACGAGTCCTTTTAAATTCTATCATTCTTAGTTTTGACAAAGTTTAAAGAGTAAGTTTACTCTGTAATCTTTGGTTTTGATGTAGTTTTTTTTTCAAAAAATAATTTTGAATATGCAACTAAATATACATGAATAAGTTGTGCCATCTGTGATTGAGTGTTGATAACTAAAAAAGTCGTTAGTGATTTGCGACTATGTTCATTGCGATCGGAACGCTCTGTTAAAATTTTGTAGCTTAGACACCTTTAAATATAGGNCCAATGATTTTTTTCTATGGGGATATTTAAAATCGAAAATTTATGGTTTTGATGAAGAAAGGACAACCAATCTGGATGACTTACAAACAAAAATTCGCAATTGTATACAGGATATTAGTCCCGATATACTAGCGAATGTAAGGCGAACTTTTTACGATAGATTGGGCTATTGTTTAGCACAGAATGGTGGTTTATTTGAACACCTAATATAAAAAATATTTTATTTTTATAGTTTTTTGTTTTATTTGTTGTTTTACAAAGTTTATTTCAGTTACTTACGAATTGTTTTTATTTTTAGAATTAAGAATTTGCTTTGTCTTATTTGAATTTCATTTATTATATTAGTTATTATTTTTATAATATTTCTTATCATTGAACGATGTCAAACGACTGACTGCTCTCCGATCCACTACTCTTGCGATTCCCCTCCCACAAACATACTCCGCGCGCATATGCACACACACAAGTATACTTATACGTACGTCCGTGTTGGGTGTATCTCCTAAAATTAAAGTTACCAATCGGTATATATAGGTTAAATAACAGTTGAATTACTCGCAATTGTGAAAAACCGCGAATTCTTATTGGTTGTTAACGTTATGAATGAAATAGTCCTATTAATTTCGCTTTATACCAGGTAATGTTTTCATCAGTATATAGTTAATCGCTATTTAACCGATTTAGTACTCAGGTATTAACAGCTTTAGCCCAAATACCTTAATTGCAGGATCATTAGCATATTACCTATATTAGCGTAGCTACTCAGTTTTCCTAAAATCGAATCAAATTTGGATATCGAATTTTTTATAGTTTTTGGTACCCCATAAATTATACAACATTTGACATTATCACCTTGACTTGCATACTTAGCAAAGGCATTCCGTATATGTTTATTTTCAACAATATCATGTGTGCTTTTAATCATTTCGAATTCAGTTTCTGGATGGTTGTGGATGTAATTTAAGCGAACTCGGTGGCAATATACGACCACATTAAGGTACATTCCGTATATGGTAACGGTTACCGAGACGTTGGGGAGGTCGGCGGTGTTGAGAGGGCGTTTGCGCACGTGTTTTCGTCACTTCTTCTCTCGTAATTTAGAAGGGAAACTTGAACGGCGGTTTGCCTTACAGTTTACGGTCCTGTAGCCGGAATTCTAATCCGTGACGGTAAATTATCTAATTTTGCGAAACGTAGTCGGAGTCCGCTCCCTTCTTATTTTCAACCGCTTCCGTATCCGCAGTTGCGATCTAGATTTATGTCACCCCTTGGGTCCGCTTAAGGTTCTGAGCTTTATGTACATATCGACCGAAAGTTTATACGCGCCAGCTTTTTGTTACTAACTCATCAGTATTCCGTCGTTTGCATACGCGGTCGGCTTTTTGGATAGGATTAATAAAAATTGTAACCAAGTTAATGTAATGAAAGTTGTGTTATAATCTTAGTTGAATCTTGTAAAATATCCACAAACAATAACTCCGTTGTACCAGTTTATTGCGTGTATAAATTCCAGGGTAGGTGAAATATATATAGTCTAATTTCTTGTATTGCTTGTGTAGCGGCAACAATCCGCAGTAAGAATGCGAGTGATTTTAAAATTCTAACGAGACCCATATACATTTCGAAACACAATAAAAATTTTAATCGCGCAAACCCGTTCTTCTGCAGCATTCCTATAGTACCTGCACTTAAATTGCCTCTTGAATAATTCCGGATTTCAACCAAAGCTAAACGGATTTGCCAAGGATAATAAACTAAAATTTAATTGGATGCGCTAGATAACTAAATGCGGGTCGATTCCAATTATACATACCAAACAAATATCCACCAAACCACTATTTACTATCCTATTACACTTGCTTAACTTTATAATTTATTTAAATCGAAAATCATTGATTTCATATTTATATAAAAAAATAGTGTACTTAAATTATAAGCTTTCCAACGAAACAAACGGATTTTGATAATATCTTTTAGGTTTTGAGATATCAATTTTGAAATTTTATGAATGAAGCAAGATTTTGATATTAATTGCATCTTATTAAAAAAATCCTGAAAATGCATTTATTTTTATTCATCTAAATGTGTGTAATTTGAATCAATTTATCTCTCTCGGTTTGCAGCAGTAGTTATCCTCGTTGGTTTTCGTACAAATTGCACCTGAGTCTCGGAGTGTTCTCCGGGAATAAATCCACTGCCAGATTCGCTTTGGCGGTCTACAGAAACTTGTCCGCGCTGTTGCCCCAGCGATCCGTTATCAGGCTCAAGTAAGTATGTTTAAATTAATATCTTAACTTAATACCTTATTATACAGGGTGTTCCGGTGACTCGGGGCATAAAATTAACCTCATATAGTAGAGCAAAAATGATGACGATTCGTGAAAAAAAATTATTATAAAAGTCTTCAAATGGCCAAGATATAAGTTTTCGAAAAAGTCAAGGTTGGCCATGGCAATTAAAAAAAACAACTTGCTGTCAACTTGCTTATGTCGTTTAAACACAAACGATAGTTCTGTTAGTTAGTTATTATTAATTTTAAGTGTTCAAAATGGAGAGTTACACATTTAGTGAACAAACTGACATGATTTTGACATTAGGGCAATGTCAAGCAGCCGCTAACCGTTATCAGGAGAAATTTTCGAACCGCAGAGCGCCCAATCGAAAAACATTTTTAAGGATTGAAACCCGTTTAAGGGAAAATGGGACGTGTAAGCCGAAATTTACTAACAACGGTAACGTAAGATCAGCCCGAACACCCGAACTAGAAGAAGATATTCTAGACTACGTAGAAGAAAATACTACAGCTAGTACTTTGGATATGGC